GGATCTGGCTTTGGATTAGGTTACTGAACTGATCTTTCAAATTCTTAACTCAACAGAAGCACACAGAACAACAGAGCTACTAAAAACATCAAATGCAGCGGAACAAAACATCTATCTTTTCATTTCCTCAAAATAATCATCTACAGAACAGTACATGGCTTTCAACAGAAAGAAAGACAGAACAGAAAAGCCATGACTGTACAAAAATCAAAAGTACAAAAGTACATAATCTGATCAGACTCTGAAACCTAGTCCTGAACTTCCTTTTTTAATAAACAAAAATAAATTTTTAAAATTTTAATTAAAACAAAAATAAAATATTTTTTATGAACCGGCCGGTTCTTTCCAACCCGGACCGGTTCACCGGTTGAATCGCCGGTTCAATCCGGTTTGATTCGGTTCTATGTAGAGCCGGTTCTGAAGCTGGATCGGACCGGCCACCAGACGGGTTCACAGTTGAACCGGCCGGTCCGGTTTTCAAAACCTTGATCATTTGTGTTGGGCTTTACATTTTAGTTTATAGAAGATTTTAATTTATGTTGTCATTTTATTAGGATATTGGGATTAGATTCTTGATATTGTAGACATATGATTTTGTGTCCGCCCCATATCCTAGCCCGATCCGAACCTAACTAATGACATGTAAATATGGGGTGACCTTGGCTTGGATTGGAGAATCAGGAAAATCATGAGTCTGATCTTTTTAAAAAATGGGTAGGCTATTATTAATAAAGTTTTTGAGAAATTGGGGTCGACATCTAGAGAAGAATCTAATTAGCCTATTTACTTATGTAGCGTGATTATGCTTGAATACAATTAAAATTTTATTAATTTAATTAATTTCTTATACAATCCATGTTGATTGACTCTGAATATAGAAATCACATATGATTAACTTAAAAATTTTAGGCTTAAAAAATATATTTTTTTCCCAAGAGATGCAAAACATCCTTTGGATAGAACTACACCATAATATGTCAGGTGATCTGTCACGACCCGCAGGAGGGGAGGGGCTTAGAAAGGAAGAAAAAGTAAAATTTGAATGCATGAGAACTCCTAGGCGTTCTAGGGCTTACTTTTTAGATATCGTTTATTTTTTCTATATGAGCCTAAAATTTTTATTTAATTACAAGTAAAAAAAATCTTTGTTATCCTTATGAGCCTAAACGTGCTTTTTCAGGCTAAAAACAAATCACGCACACACAAAAAAAAAACTAAGAAAATATGTAATCTCTAATGCACAATTAATTTAAACACATCACCAGTCATATAAAATGTTTAAACTAGTCAATGTAGCAAGTGTCACTTAATTTATAACATAGGGTCTACAGAAATTAAAAGTGATCGGGTATCACTAAGAACAACCCGGATTCTAATCTTATAGAATGATGTAAGTATTTTTGAAAAGGGAATATTTTTAGTCTTCATTTTTTTTCATCTTCTTTTTTTTATCTTCTTAGATTCGTCGGGCCCTAATATCCATGTAAAAGTGGTGTCTCATTTCTCTTTGAACCTCAAATCATCATAATATGAATTCCCAAATGAAAGGAACTCTCTTTCTATTTGAGTTTCATATTAAATATTTAACATCCCTTTTCAAATAACTTTCACAACAATTTTGAAATTTACTATACATATATAAAAGGAAAAAAAGACTCTGATACAACATGCACGTTCTCCTAAGCAGTTATATTCAAAATCATCCAAAGTAGTTATATAAGTTCATTTTTGCGGGCGAGTAATTGCTGCTTTACCAGACATTGAATGCTCATATTTTTTTCTTGATTAAAGATTGATTTAAATTTTTTGTGGTGGAGCTTCCAGGTTGGATTTGGTGTATTGAAGCCAGGGTGTGAAAGGGGGTCACGAGCATGGTCGCATGAGTTCGGATCGGGCGGGTGAAAGCGTGAAGGCGGGGCGATAGGCTAGCAGGACGCAGGCATTGCATAGGGCTTGATGCCCGGGTGGATATGCGCAGGGTGCGATCCGAGTAGAACAGCGTAAGTGCAAGGCGCGCACGCGAGGTGTAAGAGGTGCAGGGCCCAGGCATGAGCCGCAAGGCTTGGGAATAGAGCACAAGGCAAGGGCATGCATATTAGAAGAGGAACAACGATGTGCATAGGCGCGCGTAGTTTGGAATGTGCAGGAGGGTGAGCTAGAGCCATGGAAAGCACAGTGGACATCAAGCACGAGCAAGATTTGGCTCGTTTTGACTGGTTTGTTCGTGGAGTTTGTGCAGGGAGCAAGAACTTGTATATTCTTACGTACAAATGTTTTCTCAAGATTATAAAGTCTGGACCAAGGTGGAGATTGTTATTAATTGGTCCAAATTTAAGTTAGTTTCTCTTTGTACATTCTTTAGTTTTATTGTATGGCTTGTATTGCCATGTTTTAGCCATTGCTGTTTATAAATAAGAATAATAGGTTGTAATAGGAGTATGATAAACAATAAAGAATTCTAATTCATATTCTCTCCCTCTCCCCTTCCCCCTCTCTCTCTCTCTCTCCCCTCACCCAAGAAGCTCAAAAGGAATTAATAGCTTCTTCTTCATTCAAGATCCTAACAAGGATATCAATCATATATTTAAAATAAAAACATCAATTTTGGTCATAATGGTTGTCATAACTTGTAAATTACAAATGACAATCTTGATCTTATATTTGAATCTACCAATACAAAAATGCATGGTATAGAATAACAAATAAAAATATATAGATAAGAATGCACATATTTTATGTTTGAAGGACATGTGGTTACCAGTAGACCCCTGCTTTACATAGACTTTGGTCCATTCTTTATTACCATCTCGGATAGATTCGATGGTCTTCTGTATAGATTTAAAGTCCTCATGGGCTTCAAGATCGACGACCATTGTCTTCACCATCAGCATCACAGCGGCGTTTATGGTAACTCTCAATAAAAGAGAAGGTGCAGAAAAGTCACGTAGAGAAGGAATTTCATCATCATGTGCTTACTTTGACTGTGTAAGTTAAAATATAATATAGGTTGAAGAAATCATAATAGAAGTGTACAAAATCTGAATAATATTGCTTCTATATGAATGAAGAGTTTAAAAGATGGCAAGTGTTCAGAAGTAGTTTTGTTATTAGAAGAATGCGAATCTTTTAATATATGAAGTTGCATAATTGCTTTTTTTTTTTTTTTGTTACAGGTATGCTTGTAGTCCTTGCAATATTTAAGGGCTAGTGTGATAAATTGAGAGAATGCAAAGAGATTTATGTTGAATACATAATAAAAATAGTGAAATTGTTAGGTTCCTTCGCTTAGTGCACGGACTTATATCTTTAAACTTAGGGTTGCAAATGATCCGAACCGAGTCGAGTATGTGAGTGTTCATGTTTGAGTTCGTTTATCATTAGCTTGTTCAAGTTTGGTTCGTGTTTGATTCGAGCTTTATTGTTTGTGTTCATGTTTGGTTCATTTAATTAAAGGGTATTCATGTTTGGTTCATGTTCGGTTCATTTAATGCTTATCGAGTTTTAAACAAATAAGTCTTAACAAACTATGTTCGTGAACATATTTAATTAACAATCTATTGAACGAAAAGACATTAAATTTGTTCATCAACATGTTAAACAAAAATATAACAAACATGGACAAATGTGAAATGTCTTTTGTTCATAAAATTAAATTTATAATAAAAGCAGTTGTCTATTTAAAATGAAAATATGATTAATCTATTTGAGTAAATTCTTAAATGAAGCTTACATGTTGCGTTTTTCTCCATTCGAGCTTTTATCGAGCTTAATGTCCTCGAGCTTGTTCATGAACTTTAAATGATGTTTTTCGTGAACATAAATGAATCGAGCATATTAGTGTTCAAGCTTGTTTATTTAATAATAGAGTATTTAAAATATTATTTAAGTTTGTTTGTTTAGTTAGTTAAACAATCACAAACAAACTTTAATCGAATCGAGCATCGAGTAGCTCGTCGAACGCTTTGTTCGCTTGCAGCCCTATTTAAACTCATTCAAAAATGATAAATTTATTTTCCGCATAAAAAATTAAATATTTATTTAGGTTATGGTTTAAGATAATTTTTTTCGTTTCTTTGTTTCCAGATAAAACTTTTTTTTTACTATTAATTTTTTTATTATTTTCTCATAATTTTCAAAATTTTATAACAATAACAAAAACAACAAGTCTTCGTCCCACTATGTGGGGTCGGCTACATAAATCATGTTTCTCCATTGTGTATTGTTAAAAGTTAAATTCTCGTTTAAATCTAATAAAGAAATATCATTTTTAATATTTTCTAACCAAGTCTTTTTAGGTTTTCCTCTATCTTTCTTAAAATGATTCAAATTTAATACATCTACTTTCCTGATCGGTTCATCGGAAGACAGCCGTTTTATGTGACAAAACCATATAAGGAGATTCTCTCTAATCTTATCTTCCAGTAGTGCTACTACAACCTTTTCATGTATATGCTCATTTCGAATCCTAACTCTAAGGGAAAAACCACTCATCCACCTGAGCATCCTAATCTCCGCAACACTTAACTTAGTATTATGCTTCTCTTTTAATGGCCAACTTTCGGCACCATAAAGCATTGCAGGTCTCACCACCATCTTATAGAATTTTCCCTTAAGTTTGAGGAGGGCTTTTCTATCGCACAACAAGCCCGATGCATTCCTCCACTTCAATCATCCAACTTGAATTCTGCTGATAATATCAACATCTATTTCACCATCATTCTAAACAATTAATAGATCAAAGATATCTAAAATATGTACTCTTATTAATGACTTGATCGCCTAAAGTCACAATCCCATCAATAGATCTATTACCACTAAAATTACACTCCATATATTCAATTTTAGACATACTCAAATGAAAACCTTAATGACTCTCTAAAGTTAAACTCCATAATTCAAATTCACCTTCAACTCCCTCTCTAATCTTATCAACATTTTCAAAATTTTATATCATAAAAAAATTATTATTTTTTCCATCAACAAAAAAATATAAAAAATCGGACGACATAATAGAAATTATTGTATTAATGAAATGATATTACAAGGCTTAATTTAACATAAACCAGACGTTCATCCAAGCACATATAATAATAACTAAAAAAGCTCAGCCTTTGACTACAACAAAGCACACATATTGACACATACATAAATTAACAAACAACAATCAGTGTACTGTTCACTCTTTATAGGCGTATCAGTTCAGACTATCTCCTCCATGATCTCCTGGAAAGTGACCATCGCCGAAGCCGGCAGACCCAACAGCACATTGATACTCCTCCTCTCCTTCCCGTGGCTCAGAAACAGTATAACCTCCTTTTCCGGCAACGTCACCGGCCCCGACTGCACCGCCTCCCCCCACCCAAAATCCGTCACATGAAAAGCCAACCTCGACCAAGTCGTCAACAACAGCGTCGCCGCCAACGAAGGCCTCTCCCTCGTCGCCTCAAAATAATCAATTGCCGATCTCATATACCCATCCGTCACCATCCTCACCGCCTCCTGCACTTTCCCCACCGCAAAACCCACCGGATTCCCCAGCAGCTCTCCCGCGCTAGAGAGCGAGTTCGTCAGCACAATTCCGTTCCCGCAATACCCTTTGGGCAGCGGCGGCTCGAACCGGGAACGGCCGTCGACTGCGAAGAGCAGTTTGGTCTGTTGGTCGGGGTGGAGGTCCAGCGCTTGGGTTCGCGCCCGCCATACGAAGCCCGATAGGGCTTCGAAAGAGGTGCATTTGGAGATGGGTTCGAATTCCGTGGCCTTGGTTTTGAGAAGATCGAGTTTTTCCGGCGTGAAGGTGAATGAGCGGTAGAGCATCGGCTGGGATTCGTAGAGCTTGGCGGTTTCGGAAATGTCTTCGATCTGCCGGAATTCGTGGTGGGGAAATTGGATGAGGGGAGGGGTGCGGGCGGCGAGAATGCTGCGGTCGAGAAAGGGGGGGATGCTCAGGGGGAGATTCCGGGCAGTTTCGCCCCACGAGCTGACGAATTCCATGGCGCCGATTCCGTCGAACATGCAGTGGTTCATGGCCAGACCCAGGACGAAGCCGCCGCAGTTGAATTTGGTCACCTGTTTAATTCATGTGGAAATTTTTAATCATCATAATAAAAATAAATTAAGAAAATAATTTCTTTGATCACAAATAAAATCTAATAAATTTAAAAACTTTCTATAGAATATTAAAATAATTAAAAAAAATGTATTTTGAAATCAACCTGTCTTCAAATTAATTAAAATTTATGCTTCATACTGTTAAATTACTGTGCTCGTTGGAGAGGAAACCTCAGCCTTCATGAACCAACCACAAGCATTTATAATGTGGCTTCATAATAAATGATAGTAAATTTTTTTGGTCCCACAGGTATAGGATTATCAGTTATTTTCTCCGTATTTAAGGGGTTGCGATGTATGAGAGGGAAATCGAGTCTATGTTGGCCGGGGGTCTCAACCATGCTCGCCCACCAACCTAGCTAAGCATGGTGGGGTATAGTAACTATTTTTAAACTGAGGAGTCTGTCCAATTTTGCTTTACAATTAAATATTGTAAATGTAGCCATAAAGATTGAAATCCAAAGTATTGACTATTGACATATAAGTTATAAGCATTTAAAAGCTACATAAATCTCTTTATGAACACATGGCTTTATTCATTAAATGAAAAACAGAAAAAACTATATTTTTATGTAAAAATATCATAATTTTTTTTTTATAATACTATAAAGATTTTCCATCAATATTGTACATATATTCTATATTATCATATCATAGAATGTAAATAAATAAATAAATGATAGCTTCACTCTAGATAAAGATTAACTGAACGAGGTCCAACATTTAAAGATAAGAAAATATTTTAAATATGATCATATCATTTTATTTATAAAAAATAAAGTCGTAAGAACAAGTTTAAAATCAGATGTAGGCTTTCGTTTGAGATGGCTTTTTTAATATTGCTTCTTAAAATAATTTTCTGGTATAAAAGTTTAAATTTTTATAGTACAAAGCTACTTTAAGAATCAGTATGTAAGAAAGCCGTCCCAAACAATGTTGTAATATCTCTAATGATTTAGGTTTCGTTTGAGATAGCTTTTTTATAACTTTTTAAAATATTTTTCTAGTTTAAAAATTAAAATTTACATATTAGAAAATTGTTTTAAGAAGCAATAAAAAAGCCGTTCCAAACGAAACTTCAGACAATAATTTATTCATGATAGAATGGAATGATGTCCTCATTTATTTCAAATGAGTTTTATTAAAGTCTAATTTTAATATTCCTTTGAACTAATTCTAGGTATGTGAATCTACTAAAAGTGTTCATATTGATATTTTATGTTAAAATATCATAATATTATTTTATTATAATATTAATATAAAGATGTGCCAACATTAATATAAATGTATGAAGAAATATACATATCACTTGATCATATGCTGCACATATTTATCATAGAGTGTTTCAAAAAAGCCGACAATATGCCCTACCATGATGATATGATCGGATTGAAAATAAATGAGGTTTGTACTGTACAACTCAGATAAGAGTATGGATGTACTGCAAATTTGCTTTGGTGGGTTTAGGCTTTTATTTGAGTAGAAATTATTCTGTGCGGAATCTAAACAAGATGAATCGTCTCGATATTAAGTGTACATATTGTTAACACAGAGTGTGTGCAAAATTTTGATATATACTATATATAAATTTGTAGACCGTATGTATACTTATATATCCGAACGGTTCTTTCTGTCCAGATTCTGCACATAATTTATTTCTCATTAATTTGAGACGGTTTTTTATTGTTTGTTAAAGTTATTTTATAGTAAAAAAAATTTACTAAAAAATTATTATAAAAAAAAAAAAACGGTCCCAAATGAAACCTAAATCAGATGCATGCACATTATAACAATTTAAGTGTATGAATTTTTTTTAATAGAATAAAGATATTTTTTAAAAATTTGAAATTTGTATAAATTTGATAACTTAGAAAACACAATAACAAAAAAAAAAAGATCAATAGAGCTAAAGTATCTACGGTGGCTATATGAAAAATGATAAAAAGTATGTCACGAGTATAAATAATCAAAATAGAAAAATTATAAAATAAAAATAATATATCTTTAAATAAAAAAAAAGTTAGCATCATTTTACCATTGAAATAATTATATTATATTTATTAAATATTCTTTTAATATTTTTAATCAAATTTTAAATTTATTATACACGTTTAACAAAATATATATTAGAAGTTCCAGACACAAAACTACGAGCAAGAAGTTTAAGTAATATCGTATTCCCAAAAAAAAAAAAAAAAGGTTAGGTGAGTTCCTGGACATGTGTGGTAATGAAGTTTTAATCATTTTTCAATTGCATTTTTTTATTTTTTATTTTGGGGAATGAAAATTGCAGAATTCATTATCAACGGTCAAACTTTTAACTTTGTAATCTTTTAAAAATAGTAAAATTTTAATTAATGAGTTTTTTAAAGTAATAAAAAATTAAAATTTACGGTATCCATCCTTATCGTTGAATCAATTTTCGATAAGTGTAATATATAGTTTACATAAATTATAATTTTTTTCTTAAAAAATCTTATTCAGTCAATTTAACATATAATTTAATAATATAATAATTTATATTTTTCTAAATATTACAAAAAATAATCTTTCTTAATTATTTTACATATATGCCATTAAAATTTTATAAGTTTATATCAAACATAAAAATCTTAATATTTATTTAAATATAAAATTCTAATCTTAAATCTTAAATCTTAATATATATTTTAGCGTAATTTAAACTATAAGATATTATATAAATAAATATCAAATTTAGATATTAGATATATAAATGCATAATAACTGTGATAATGTATTTTTTTACTTGTTTTGTATGAAAATTCAAATTTCTTTTCCTAAATATAAAAACTTCGTCTAAACTAGGATAAATATTTTTTATTTATTTAATAATAATATTCAAAAATAGTTTTAATAAATCGTTTGATATTTTTTTGAATTAAATAATAAAATCACATTATAATTTATTAAGTTATCTTTGAAAATTAGATTAGTTATTGAAGATCACTCTGAAATTAGACCAAATAAGTATATAATCACTTGATTAGACTCGAGATCAATTTGCTTTACTCAAGATAAGATTATCTTGCTCAATGATTGGAACAGTTAGAGATCAAATCATTTAAAAAAAAAATTAGAAATATAAATATTTATATCATAAAAATATACTTAAGTTCATTTTTTATCCTAAAATAAATAAATCGTTTATATGTTTATCAAACAAGTAGCTCTTTTGATCATTAATTTAAGAGCTATCAATATTTTTTTTTAGATTTACATATTAAATTCCTATCTATATATAATATCTAAATCTTAAAATATATATATGAAACGTTAGAATAAATTAATATTAATATTATTTTTTATAACATTTAGATATTGTATACAAAATTACATAAAAAAAACTAATTAAGTACGATATAATTATTTCTAAAAAAAAAATTATAAGGCAATCTTAGCTAATAATCAGTTTCTCACCTGAGCAACCATGGGGGGTATTTCCAGTATGTTCTTCGCATCAGGAACATTATAAACAAGCTTGCCAAGCGTAGCCGGATCAGGCTTGGCGATATCGCCGATGTCCGCCATGTCGCAGTCTGCCTCGGCTTCAACGAAGACGGCCCCAACGCCATCGCAGTCCACTATAAGCTTCCCTTGCTCGCTTATCGTCAGCCGACCGGCTAACGGATAGTAGTGAACTAATACCTTCGCCAACGCATCCTTTATCACCTCAGCAGCTTTCTCGTTCCCTTTCTCCTCTGCTTTAAAGCAGTAGATGGTTTGAACTATAACGGCTATATTCTGGTCCAGATTTGACAGAAAGTAAAAACCCTTTGTGGTTTCCTCAGCGGGAGGAACAAGCGTTGGTTCCCCTTGTTTCACTCGGAGCTCAAAAGCTTTGCCGTTGCCGTTGATGCTGCCATTCTCTGTGACAGCCATGATCTGCTCAACCTGGGAGATGATTAGAACAGATTACGTTAAGTAGCCTAAGATATTTACGAGTATTAATCTTGGGAAGAAGAAGCTTACAGTGAGGGCTGAGGATTTGAAGAAATTTAATGGTTGAAGAGGAAAGATTGGAGATTGGGATGGTTTGTGAGAGGGGAGGAGGGCTATATGTATGTGAAGAGAGGAAGAGAGGAGGAAGGGGTACTTCCAAGACGGTTAGAGTAGGAGACCAAAAGCCATGGAGATATCTTTTTCTTAGATTTGATGCACAGAGAAGAAAATTTTGCGTTAATTAAGATATTTTAATATGATAAGCTTAAAATCATCAGTTTTGATTTTATATAATTAAGATATTTATATAATTTTACTTTATAGAAATAGGAATGAAGGTGATATGAGAAGACTTGGCTTGTTTCTTTTCTGGATAATTTGGTGGAGTTGGCCACTGGCAATTGAACTACCCACAATAATATTGATATATCGTGTTGGTCAGATAGGTGAGGTTGGCCTCCCAATTAAATTGGTCTATTGAGTACGTATGAAATTTATTAAAATTCAGGTTTTTTAAGGCGCTGATTAAAATTAATTGCATGGTCAATGTTGTGACGACCCATCCGTAAAATTGGCAATAAATACTTAGAGATCTTCAATTGAACGAAAAGTCAAATTGAATATTTTTTTTAAAGGCTAAGAATTTTTTTTTTCGAATATATCAGATATTTAGATCAAATTTTTCATTGTGATAAATTTTAAATGTTTTAAACTTATTTTAAGATGGATTTAGTTTTCACTTTAATTGTTTGTTTCATTCATTGTACTTATAATCAATTTTTTGTTCACCTCGCTCTGCTACGGTTCTTCTTAGCCCTTCCGGGGTCGCACGGCGACCATCGCTTATGCTCTGAAGTTCTGGATTGGGACACTTTAGTGCAAAATTGGAGAGACACTGATCGATTTCGTCAGGGTCGCACGACAAAGGTTCCACTCAGGGTAGTTTCTCTCTTTCCCTATGGATTTTTTTCCTCGTGTTGTCCAGTGGTTTTGGTTTTTCCTAAGCATTGTTGTCACCATCATTCCGGTGGATGGCGGTAATTCATATTAAGCTGGATGATCCCAATTTTTTGAACAGTAAATCAAATTCTCGCTCTTTTTTATGTTGTTTGGGATGTTTCTTCGCCTGTTTTTGCGGATGTTAAACCCTTCCATTTTTGAGGGATGCCTTAGCAATGGATTTTCAAAGATGAAGTATTTGCACTTGCTGCCCCATTTGCTTTCTCTCTTATAGGCTATTTCCCTAATCATCGCCCATCCTTGGAGTTGATTAAGAGGTTCTTCTTTAACTTGAAACTAAACGGTTAGTTCTCTGTCAACTTGTTGGACTCACGTCATGTTATGATAAAATCGAGTTGTGATATGAATCATTGCATAATTTTTTCCCATTGATAGTAATTGTTTTATGAAGCTAACTAAGTGGTCTCCTTTTGTGGATATTGCGAAAGAGTCACCAATTGTTCCGATTTGAATTTATTTTCCAAAGTTACGCCCCATTTTTTTCTCTCCATATATTCTTCACGACCTGGGTTCCATTTTTAGCAGTCCCCTTCACACTGATACTACCACTACTATGGGCTCTCGTTCGTCCGTTGCAAGGGTGTTGGTGGAGTTTGATATCACGAAACGTTATCTTGAAAATGTTTGGATTGTCCCGAAAATTTTTGATTATATTCAAAGTATTGTGATGGATAAGTTTACATCCTGTTGTGAGCATTGTAAATCTTTAGGTCATGCTAAAAAAGAATGTACTCTGCTTCATCCTTATTTACTTAAGGACCCTAATCTGACTAGGGATAATTTGAACAATGTTGTTGGAGCCTCATCTTATTAATCATCCAGTTAATGTGGATGTTAGGCTTACTAATGAGGTATATGATAATGTCCAAGGTAGTGGTTGTGTCAATTTAACTTTGGATGTTAATGCGGGGGTTGCTACTGTAGGTCTTATAGAAAATGAATATTTGTTTTTACCCTATGTGAGGGTGGGACTTTTGTCTGATCATGTCGTTTTGGGTCCTCAGGATTGTGGTATTTCTGTGTTGGTTAAGGATCGTACTGAGAATGTGGTACTCTATAACTTGCTATCTATTAATACTGTTTGTTAGCCTCCTACTTAGCCTTGTATTATTAAGAAGGATTCTTGCTTTGTTAATTTGGTGGTGCTGAATGGCTCTTCTAGCAATGTTCATGACAAGCCGCCACATTCTTCCTCTGAGAAAGAGTTATCACCTAATACTAAAAAAATCTATAAATTATGTATCTGTCATAGATGTACTAGTTTCTCTTATCTCAAATGCATATCTGAAAGCACAATTGTTGTTGAACCTGATTTCTCCCTGTTTGGATCTTTCTAACGGCATGGATGGAGCTCTTTCCGCGCCTTGCAGGGGTTTTGAGGATGAATTAGATGATCTGATAGATGAATTGTATAGTTTAAATATTAGTCAAATCATTGATAAAGCGTTTTGTCATAGAGGTGGCCAAATGGGATAAGAAAAAAGTAAAAAAGGAAGTATTTTTGCTTGATTTTTGTCCTTGTATTTTATGTTGTTTCCACTGATCGAAAATCTGGTGCTGATGTTGGACTTCTTTTGGCTGTTGGCTTGAGTTTATTTTTAGTGTGGGGCCTATTGTGTTGGCCCACCCTTTTCTGATTGCTATTTGTTTTGGTCGATGGGGCTATTGACTAGAGATTTTGGTTATTTGCTTGGGTGGTTTTCTTCATGGTTGTGATAGTTATAGGGTTTTGGTTCTTTTTCAAGACTAGACAATGATGAGGCAAGTTTTTGCTTGCTCCCGTGGATGTCCATGGCTTGTTGGCAACCTTGGTGGTTGATTCTTATGTTTGGTCTTTGTTGGTTGTTTGGTTGTTCTTTCCATTGTTCTCTCTACCTCCAATGGATGATCCAAGTTTGACAGTTGGGTGGCGTTTTTTATTCTGAATGCCTTAGGGCCTTATTTTCATTCTCTCTATTTTTGGAATTTCAATCTCTCGCTTTCATGACATTTTCAGCTTTGTAATGTCCTGTTGTGGCCTCCTTTGACCTTTGTTTGTACTCCCCTTCATCTATGGAATATAAAAATCTTATAAAAAAATATTGTATTTATTTTAAAATAAGTTCAATAATTTGGGACATTGCTTTACCAAATATTTTTTTTGGCTAAATATGATGATGGATTACATTATTTTTTTACTTCGGCTAACTTGCATTTTTAATTAATAAAATTAATAATATTTTTAAAGATGACCTTCCTCAGGCATGAATCTCAATTAAAATTTCTTTTAATCAAATTCAAGTCAATTAGAACTATAATTTTAACAAAATTATTGTCAATTTGAATGTTTTGATTAGATGAACACATTAACACCAATGGTGATTGATCTTTGAACAAAATCAGATCAAATAGTTTAAATATAATTGAAAGTTTTAAGCTATTAAATGTAGAACCTAATGATTCACAAATCTTACAAACTTATAATTAAATTGAGTATCTCAACAAGAATCTGAAAAGCCTACCTTCGCTTAATTATGACATCATTAAGGCATTTAGAAGCCAATATAATTGTATATGATCAAAGAAATCAATATAGGACATCGGGATCTGTTGCATGCTGGAAAATTTGTTTCGGTAGAATTTCTATTTCACGTCTTAGTATTCTGCAAAGATTCGTAATGAACATACAAAAATACTACTAGGATCATATAAATTTTTATGTGAAAACCCCAAAAGAGAAAAAACCATGGTATTTAGAGTACAACAACAACAACAACATCATCAAGCCTTTATCCCACTACGTGGGGTTGGCTACATGAATCCTTTTTCTCCATTGTGACCTATTAAAAGTCAAATTCTCATTTAATTCTAATAAAGAAAGGTCATTCCTAATATTTTCTAACCAAGTCATTTTAGGTCTACCCTTACCTTTCTTAACATAAGTCAAATCTAATACCTCTACTCTCCTAACCGGGTCATCAGAAGGTCGCCGTTTTATGTGACCAAACCATCTAAGGCGACTCTCTCTAATCTTATCTTCTACTGGAGCTACTCCAACCTTTTCAGGTATATGCTCATTTTGTACCCTATCTCTAAGGTAAAGCCACTCATCCACCTGAGCATCCTCATCTCTGCCACACTTAACTTAGTATTATGCTACTCTTTTAATGGCCAGCATTCGACACCGTAAAGTATTGAAGGCCTCACTACCATCTTATAGAATTTTCCCTTAAGTTTGAGGGGTACATTTCTATCACAGAACGAGCCCGATGCATTCCTCCACTTCAACCATCCAACTTGAATTCTGCTGATAATATCCCCATCTATTTCACCATCACTCTGAACAATAGATCCAGGATATCTAAAACGTGTACTCTTATTAATGACTTGATCTCCCAAAGTCACAATCCCCTCACTAGGTCTATTACTACTAAAATTACACTCAATATATTCTGTTTTAGATCTACTCAAGCGAAAACCTTTAGACTCTAAGGTTGGCCTCCATAATTCAAGTATACCTTCAACTCCCTCTCTAGTCTTATCAACAAGAAGAATATCATCAGCAAAAAGCATACACCAAGGTACATCCTCTTGCAAATGTCTAGTGAGAACATCCATGACTAAAGCAAAAAGATATGGGCTTAAGGCTGATCCTTGATGTAACCCAACCGAAATAGGGAAATACTTGGTCAATCCACCTTGTGTTTGAACACAAGTAATAGCTCCTGCATACATATCTTTAATGATTTGAATATAAGCATTATTGACTCCTTTCTTTTCAAGACCATGGTATTTAGAGTCTAGTTACAAAATTAACCATATAGTAAGTGATACAATGATCGTCCTTTTTTTTCACTGTTGAAGAAGAGAAAGAGTACAAAGATTAATTGTCCTTAGATGGATGATATTTGCCCAACAATAAGGCTTAATTTTTTCAAAAGGGATTTAGAAAAAATTATTGTCCATAGGTGGACAAATATACCCATTAGCAGGTTTAAATCTTTTTTGTATTCTCGAGAAAGTGATGGATTTTTTAAGCTGGCTGTCGATAGTGATGGTGGCAATAGTTAGTGGTGGTCGTCGGCAACGTGACTGGAAAATGCAAGAGAGCTCTCACTAGTTCTCTCTTCTTCTTTTTATCCTCTTCTCTCATGTGAAGAATGAGGGCCTATTTATAGATT